GTCCCAAAGCCCCTTCCTGGTCAGTGCAGAGCCACGGCTGGGCTGCTCCCCTAAGCTGCCAGGGCTGCCCTCAAGACGCTGGTCCCTTGCCGACCGCATCCATGATGGACAGCATGTTGCAGGTGCTGGTGTGCAGTGCCAGCACTCTCGGCATCCAGGAGCTGCAGAACATCTTGAAGGTCTGGCCTTGGCACAATGTCCCCTTGGGCAGTGACCTCCGGCTGGAGTGGTGCCCGTCCCCCTGCCCCTTCTCCTGCCCCAGCGCACCCTGGTCGTTGCCCACAGCCTGTCCTGTGCAATACTGCAGACAGAGCTGCCTGTCTGGAAAGGGTAAACCAGCCCCAGGGCTCTCCCCCTGTGGCTTCACGGGCCATATCCCAGAGCCCCACCACAGGTCCCCAGGGAGGGGTCACCTCAAAGCCTCGGGATCCTCAGGTGCAGCGGGTGGAGGGAGGGACCTTTTCTGAGGGGGAGTGAGTGCACAGCAGCAGGGCAGCAGCAGCAGTGGGATGTGGGGACCTGCCTGGCCACAGCCCATTGCTGCAAGGAGCAAGAACATGTGCCCCATGTCAGGCACTGCTGAGGTGCAGTACTGTGCCACGCACCCCACCTTCCTGGCACACCAGCAACTTTTGTCCTCCCAGCTTGAGACCAGTTCCCAGGCTGCTGAGGTGCAGGAGAGGGCTGTGACATGGATTGCCCAGTTGGCCAGCTTCATCAGCACCTACACCCTGCCACAAGTAATGAGCTCCTGGTCTGGGTAGCCCCAGTGCTCCAGCCTTGTGCCCCTGAGGCCCAGCAGCACACAGCGCGAGCTCAGGAGCAGGGGCTCTGCCCTGCCCGTGCTCTTTCCCAGGACACAGGCGGCAGCCTGGGGCCAGCAGCCCTGCCCTGCTTTGGGCTGCTGCCTGGCTGTTCTGGGAGCAGCTGAGGCTCCCTGTGTGCCCAGGTGACCTTGCGCACATCTTCCAGTTCTGCTCCTGCTGTATGCAAGCCCCAGTGCTCCGACATCAGTGCTGGAAGACTAGTGATGGGGAAGCTGGTGGCTCACCTCATTCTCTGCTGCACCTGCGAGGTCTGCGGGACCCACAAAGAGGCTGCAGAAACTCTCTTTCATATGCACAGCTTCATCCTGCAGCAGATAAGTAAGAGAGGACTTATGGGGCTGGGTCTCCCCAGGCATGGGTAGCCAGGGACCATTCTCCTTGGCAAGAGAAAGCCAGATCCAACCTGCCTGCCTGCAGTCCAAAGAGCCATTTCCCCTCGCTCGCATGTGCACTAGCCCTGGACCTTCCCTGGGCTTTCTGGCTCTGTGTGGGTCCAGGCCTCTGTTTGCCAGGGGCTTTCAGCCCACCACTCTTAGCAGCTCCTCTAGCTCTGCAGCCTCTTTCTGAGCCCCCAGATTTTGCTGCTCCTCAGGTAGGTACCCCAGGCTGCTGGAGAGAAGACAGCAGCAGCTCCAGAAGAGCTGGCAACAGAGGCACCCCTGGTGGCTTTTAAAAACCAAACACACCAGACAGATGCTCTTGGTAAGAAGTGCCCTTGGCTTCTGGCTGGGGCTCAGCATGAGTGAAGGGACACCCGGTGTGTGGGAGTGATGGAGCTCATGCTGTTCCCTGGCAGGGGCCAGGCAAAGGCCCCAGCAAGCTCTGGTTCCCCACAGGACCCTGAGCCCCACCGCTGCTCTTCTTCCAGCACACCCTTGCTCTGCGTCCCGCTCTTGCTCCGCAGCCAGGATGCTCTGGGTGACCCTTGAGGTGACAAACCTCCTCTCCTTCATCCCACAGATGTTCACAAAGTACCTCCAGCCCTCTGAGCAGACAGATATCATCCGCCTGGCCATGAAGAGCTTGATAACCCCAGGGGTCTACAGCAGCAGTGTGGCTACCCACATGGTGGACGTCCTTGTGTCAGACACTGACTTCTGGCCAGACCAGGTGAGCAGCCTCTGGTAGCACGGCTGATGCACTAACCCTCAGGGGACTGTTCTTGTCCTGGGTCTGTGCCTAGCCAGCACTGACACCATCTCAAGCTGGCATATCACAGTGGGAATGGAAGCAGCTCCCAGTTGGTGCTGGAGAAACAGCCATGCTCACCCTGCTGACATCATTCCCCACTGGCACCCATGTGTCCCTTGCAGGTGCTGAACATCACATGGGCCATCTACAAAAGCCTGTCTTCCATCGGCACAGAAACAGCCTTCAACAGCCTGAAGATGGCCCTCCTGGCACTGACACACAAACAACCCAGTGAGGTGGTAGCCAGCATGCTGCAGTGCTCGTGCTGCAGTGCTCCCCGACATGCAGCAGATATGGAGCCCACTAGCCTTCCTGAAGGCCTTCAGCCTGGCCATCCTCCCATGTCACCTCTGACAGAACCGTGTGTCCCTGCAGTGTCCCTATGGCCACGTGTACGGCAATGCTCTCCAAGCCCAGGCCTGCAGGGAAGGTGCTGAGAGAGCTGCTTAGCACACTGACGAGCCAGTCACTGTGCAAGATCTACGCTGCCACCATGGACAACCCACGCATCCTGTCCCCTGCCGTGAGTTGCTCGATGAGGCCTTGCTATCCCCCAGGGCTGCTCTCAGCTGTGCAGGGGGCCCCCTCCTCATCCCTGCCCACCCCAAGCCCTGACCTCCCCAAGGGCGAGAGGATGTCTCAGTGTCCACATGTCTTCTGCAGGCAGCCAGGACAATACACAAGATCCTCCGGCAGTCCCTTTGCCCAAGGGAGGTGGAGAAGGTTTACCCCGAGCTTTTCCTGACACCGCTGTTCCAAGTGTCATTCACAGCAGAACTGACGAACAACGAAGTGCTCATCTTCTGGAAGGAGAGCCAGCCGGATCAGCTCACTCCCATCAGGTGCTCCATCACTGTCCTCTCATCCTGCCTGGACACCCAGAGCCAAGCCAGGGGTCCCTGTGGGAGTTGAGCATCTCTCCTTGTGCAGGTCAGCAGTATAGTCCATGAGAATGCTGTTCCTCAAGATGGGCCTTGAGAGCCAGGATCTGGCCATCGACGAGCAGGGTGGCTGGTACGACCTGCTTCTTGTCCAACACCACCTCAAGGGGGTGTGCATTGTGGCAAGGTGAGAGCCCCTTCTCCCTGCTCCTCAGGAACCAGGCACCCCACAGCACCCCCTCCCTTGGGGCTGATGGCAAGGGGATCTCTGTTGCTCAGAGGGAAGTGCAGCAGACTGGTGCAAACCCCAGAGAGATGAGCCTGCCTGGCTCAGGCCTGACACTGCCTCCTTCCCCCTGCCATGGAGATGATGAAGACCCTGAGATGCCTGTGCTCCATACTGTTTGACCAACTGGTGAAGCTCCTTACTGTGGAGGACCCCATGTGGGAGATGGTCTCTGTGGTCATGTTCACTGAGGTGAGCCTGATGCCACCGGCCCGAGCTCCAGCTGATGCTTGGCTGTCTCACGCGCAGCACTGTGCCGCAGAGGGAGCTGGGTGGCAGGTGAGATTTGGCTGGTACTGTGGAGAAGCAGGCAACCAGCCAGTGCAGTGTGCTGTGGGTCACGGTAGCTGTCTGCAGTCCCTGACACCTCTGTCTGAGCTTACTCTTGCCCTAGCATCCTTGCCTTGAGTTGATGGTTGGAGCCAGCAATGCACCTCACCAGCTCCTCCTGTGTGTTTCAGATGTTGAACTGCACCAACCTCGGTGTTACTCTGAACTATGCTGTGGACATCTTCCCCGTGTACCTGCAAAGCCAGCACGTGGGAATGTCTCGACTGGTGCTTAAGTCTCTCTTTGCACTCCCCGAGAGGACCGACATGGTGACCAGGGGTCGCTGGGGCAGCAGCACGGGGTGCAGCAGTGCTGCTGGGTAACACGGTGACTTTAGGGTTTCTGGCATTGAGAGCTGTACCAGCTCTGTGCTTGCCCAGTCCAGTGTCCCATGGCTGTGTCCTGCAAGAAGAGAGGCAGTAGCTCTGCTGGGAAGGGGCTTCCATTACCGGCACGTCCCAGCAGGGGTGGTGGCAGCACAGCCAGCAGCCCGAGCATGGGGTCTGCAGAGCCTGGCTGTGGGGTGCTGAGCCCTGGGGTAAAATGCAGCACTCACAGCAGGGGCTGCGTCACCTCTGACAGCTTTCCAGGCACTGCCAGGCACCCAGCCTGCCCAAGGGCTCCAGTGGAGAAGACGTAGCTGAGGGGATGGCAAGGAGCCCCTGCTGTCTGTCCTTCCCCTCTGTGCCCTGTGCTTTCACTGGTCAAGCTGGTGAGCCCAGTCTGCTGGGCTCATGCTCACCCTCATAACCTGTGCTGCCTGCTGGGAAGCCAGAGGGCAGGCTGGTATTTGCAGAGAGGGTTTTCACTCCATCTGTTGGTCTCTGTGTTACAAAACCAAAGTGGCATGTCTCACACAGGCAAGGAAAATCCTCACCCTGATGCCAAACTTCATGGCATGCCTGGAGGATAATGCTAGTGCCATCTACCTGGCCATACTGGGGCTCAGCAACTTATTACAGCTGCTGGAGGAGAAGATGCTCCGCCTCAGCATCCTTGCCATTGCTAGCAAGCTCCGGCTTCTTTGACAACGTAAGGCTGGGGGAGAGACTTGTGCTCCTGCACCAGGCAGCTCCATTGACATCTCCCACCCCAGCCCCGTGCTCTGCAGGGGGATGCTTTGCCCCACTGCCCCATCACTGCCCTTTGTGGCTCTGTACTCTCCCCCACCCCTGCCTGCATGGGGTAAGCCTGGCTTGGCCTCCCTGCTGCAGGAGTTGGTGGTGGCAGGATGGCAGTAGGGCTGCTGAGCCCCAGCCTGCCCTGGCAGCATCTCCAAGTCCACTTGTGGTCTCCTGCTCTATCCCCCAGCCCCACTGGGCATATGTTCTGCATGCTGCAGCTCACTCCCTTTTGGAGGAGGGCTGCCTGCGGCTGTTCCGGGGACATCCACTTACATGTCAGCTCCCTGCTCCCCATGGGCCTGGGGCTGAGGTCCTCCCAAAGGAATCAGACACTGTGAGGGGGCTGTCCATGTACTTCCACTATGCGATGGGGCTTGTGACGGGTACTGAAAAGAAAAAGATGAAGAAGAAGGTGTGGGAGAGCCTGCTGCCGCTGGTCTTTCGCCTGCATGACCAGAAAGAGGATGTAGCCAAGGTGGGATTCCCAACCAGATCAGTCCTGTGGGCACTACTGACAGTGGAGCCTTCAAACGTGTATCACCATGAGGTTTAGCTTGCTGAGGCCTTAAGACCAGGCAGAGCTCCCCCTTGCCCACTGCTGCCTTTCTCCTCCTGCTGCCCAGATAAAGACGGTGTAGGGTCCCTTTCCCACCCAGCTGCCTCTGCACAGCCCCTGCCATGGAGCTTGTGGCCCTGCAACCCTAGAGACAAGGCTATAGTTCCACAGCAGCCTGGGGCCACCAAGGCCAAAGGTTGCAGCCTCAGGAGTCTTCCAGGCGGAGAAGGTGGCTGGCCTTACCTTCCCCTGTGGTGCTGAGCCTGTGCCCAGCAGCACCAGTGCCCAGCTGGTGCGTCTTCCCTGCAGGGACTGAGACAGGTTCTAAGCCCTGCTGAGAGGTAGGACACAGGGCACTTTGCCTCCAGGGCTGGTGGTGGCATCTTTTCTTTCCAGGCTGCTTGTGAAGCCCTCTACTTTGTTGGCTGTTTCCTGAAGTGGCAGGAACTGACAGAGCTGGCCCAAAATGCAGAACCATGGGAGACCAGCGAGTGCCCGGTGAGAAGAGCCCCAGCACTGCTGGGATCGGCACTGGGAGAACCTTGCCCCATGCCCAGTTGGAAGGACGCTGGGCTGTGCCCCATGGCTGTATGTGCCCTACTGGAGAAGGCTCTGCTCCAGGCTGTCCTCACCCCCAAGATCCCAAGGGGGACCCTGCCACCAAGGTTGCACCCCAGTATCAGTGGAGAACCCTGTGCTCCCTCTGAACCCGAAGGCCACATGGTGGAGAGCTGGGAATGTCCTGCTGGGGGGAAGAAGGGTGGCCCTGGATGGGGGAACAGCCCAACCCGGGGCAGCTCTGTGCCAACCCTGCACCCTTCTCTCTCCAGCTGGAGAGGAAGAGGAGGAAGACCAAGGACTTTCTGCACCAGAGTGAGGTCTACCTGCAGAGCCCACAGGAGATCCTGAGGCAGGACGCTGTCGGGCTCATCAGTGAGCCATGAGTCCCGGGTCCCTCCCCCTCTGACAGGATCCCTGCATCCCAGCGCAGGACCTGCGGAGCATCCCTTGGCCCCCTCCCAGCCACTCCTTCCTGCACACGTTGGGCTGGCAGGAGGCTCATCCCCTCCTTGACACAGTGCCCCAGGGTCAGCCCTCCCTGGTGAGCTGTGTGGCCAGGCTGGCTGGGTCCTGGGGTCTCTGACAGGCAGTGGGTTCCCCAACATACGGTGTCACCCCAGGGCGTATCGGACAATATGTGGATGAGCGCAGGGTGATGGAGTGCATCAAAAAGTGTGAGTGAGGACAGTGGGGAGGAGGAAGGATTCTGGCACAGAACCACCCCAGGCGAGGGGGCCCCTGCTGCCAGAGCGTCTATGGGGAGAGCGTGTTTGTGGAGGTGGCCGTTCCTGACCAGCAGCCTTCAGCTGAGCCACCTGCCTGCTGGCTCCCTCCTGGCCCTGGGCATCATGGGGTGTAATGTGCCCTGCCTGGAGGGGACACAGGGCTGTCACCTCACCTCTCCTGCTTTGTCCCCACAGTCCTTGAAGACCCAAGAAAAGACACCAGCCCCCTGGTCTCCTCCTTGGCGACTCAGACCATCCTCTTGCTCGAAGAAAGAAGGACAAGTTCAAGGTTTAGCCTACAGTGGCTGCGCTCATTGCTGCTGAGCGCATGGAGCAGGTGGTGCTCGGCCTCCAGCAGAGACTTGTGAAAATCTCATGCAGTTCAATAAAGCAAAGTGCAAGGTCCTACACCTGGGTCACGGCAATCCCAGGCACAGCCACAGGTTGGCTGGAGCATCCCCCATACAAAAACAGGCTGAGACAATTGGAGGTGGAGAAGGGAAGGCTGCGTGGAGACCTCATAGCAGCCTTCTAGTGTCTGAGGGGGCCTACAAGGGCACCCAAGTCCCTGACTCTTCATCAGGGGCTGTAGCGATAGGACAAGGGGCAATGGGTTTAAACTTAAACAGGGGAAGAGACCCACCCCCACCTCTCTCCAGCCTCCTTTCAGGTAGTCGTAGAGAGAGAGAAGGTCCCCCCCTGAGACTTCTTTTCTCCAGACTAAAGTCCTGCCAAGCTCTTTCAGCTGCTCCTCATGACACTTTGCTCCAGGTCCTTCACCAGCTTTGCTGCCCTTCTCTGGGCCTGTTCCAGCAGTTTAGTGTGCTGGAGGTACAGTATTGAGGGGCCCAGAACTGAACGCAGGATTCGAGGTGCAGCCTCACCAGTTCCCGGTATGGGGGGACAGTCACTGCCCTGGCCCTGCTGGTCACACTATTGCTGATAGAGGGCAGTATGCCATTGGCCTTCTTGTCTGCCCGGGCACACGCTGGCTCATGCTTAGCTCCATCAGTTAGCACTCCCAGGTCCTCTTTCGTGAGCAGCTCTCCAGCCACTCTTCCCCAGGCCTGGAGCATTCCATGGGGTTGCTGTGACTCAAATGCAGGACCCGGTACTTTGCCTTGTTGAACCTCATACCACTGGCCACAGCCCATTGATCCAGCCTGACCAGCTCCCTCTGCAGAGCCTTCCTCTCCTCCAGCAGATCAACACTCCCAGCCAACTTGTCATCAGCAAACTGAGGTGCCCTCGATCCCCTCATCAGGATCATCAGCGAAGATATTAAACAACACTGGCCCTAACACCGAGCCCTGAGGAACACCACTAGTGACCGCTCACCAACTGGGTACAACACCATTTACCACCACTCTTTGAGACTGGCCACCCAGCCAGTTTCCAATCCAGCGAAGAGCACACCTATCCAGGCCATGAGTAGCAAGTGCCCCGAGGAGAACGCTGCGGGAGGAGATATTGTCAAATGCTTTGTTAAACTCCAAATGGACAATGTCTACAGCCTTTGCCCCATCAATCTGGCAGGTCACCTTGTTGTAGAAGGAGATCAGGTTGGTCAAGCAGGACCTGCCCTTTGTCAACCCATGCTGACTGTGCCTGATCCTCCCATTTTCCTGCTTGTGCTGTTTGATCTCACTTAGGATCATCTGGTCCATGACCTTTTCCAGCACCGAGCTCAGGCTCACAGGCCTGGAGGTTCCGGTCCTCTGGGACCTGCGCACCAGACCAGGACTGCTGATAGGTGATGGAGAGCGGCTTAGCAAGCTCCTCTGCCAGCTCCTTCAGCACGCTTGGATGCAACCCATCCGGCCCCATAGAGCTGTGTAGGTCTAAGTGGAGCAGGAGGTCACTAACCATTCCTTTGTGAATTATGGGGACTTCAATCAGCTTCCTATCTGTGCCATCCAGCTCAGGGAACTGAGTACCCTGTTGTGACTGTTAATGGCTGGTGGGACAATTAAAGACTGTGGCAAAGGCAGCACGAAGTACCTCAGCCTTTCATCCTCAGTCACCAGGTTTCTCCTGGTATCCAGTAGAGGATGGAGGTTTTCTGGGCCCTCCTTTTATTGCTAATGTTTCTATAGAAGTATTTTTTATTATCTTTAATGGCAGTGGTCATATTTAGTTCCAGCTGTGCCTTCTCCTTTCTAACTTTCTCCCTACATAGCCTAAAAGCGTCCTTCTGCTCTTCATGGGCGACAGTCCCTTCTTCCACAGGTGATAGATTCTCCTTTTCCTCTGAGCTCCAGCATCATCTCTGTGCTCAGCCAGGCTGGTCTCTTCCCTGCTGGGTTGATTTTTGGTGCATGGGGACCACTTACTCCTGTGCCTTGAGGGGTACCTTCTTGAACAGTGCCCAGCTTTCTTGGATCCCTTTGTCCTTCAGTAATATTTCCCACGGAATTCTGCCAACCTGCCAACAAATTGGGCAACACGGAATTCTGCCAACAGGCCAAAGTCAGCCCTCCAGAAGTCTAAGGTGGAGGTTTTGCTGACTTTCTTCCTGACTTCTCCAAGGATTGAAAATTCAGTCATTTTGAGATCGCTTTGCCTAAGAAGGCCTCCAACCATCGCATCACCCACACGTCCTTCTGTTTGTGAACAGCAAAACCATATGGGTGTCTCCCCTAACCAGCTTGGACTCCTGATCCCTGAGCCAGTTGCCCAAAGGCACTGAAGTACTTCTTGAGTCCCATCAGCCTTCTTGAAGACATTTCCTCATTGCCTACCTGAAAGACTAAGAAAGTATGGTAGTTGCAGGGCTGTACTAGATGAGAGAGTTTTCTGGTGATGTCCCTTACCCTGCCCCAGGGAGGCAGTAGGCTCCCCTGTGAGTCTGGTCAGGCCAGCATACAGAGCCCTCTGTTCCCCTTAGGGTGGAGTCACCAGCCATTACTCTTTTGTTTAGTATAGCTGTTTATAAAAGAAGGTGTTCTCTGATTTTTCTGTAGGAACTCTTCTAACCTGTATGATCTTCCTCACTTTCGTGATCCTCAAGTGCCTGGGCCTTGTATCTATTGTAAAGGGGTACTTAGGAAGGTGACAATAGCTGGAGGGTACTACACCATCTACTCTGGGAAGTAACCTGTTTCCAACCTCCCTTGTCTCCTAGGTTCCTTCCATCTGCCCTATGGCAAGACTGTAGGGGATCCTGAAGTTCTTTTGTTTCAGGTGTCTGGCTTGCTTCCTCAGGGATGGGAGAGCATGGGTCCACTCGTCAATGTCCTCTTCAGATTCCCTTATGCTCCTTAGCCATTCCACCTCTTCCTGTAGGTCTGCCATGCAGAGCAGATCATCAACCTGCTTTCTTCTTACACAGCTATATCACTGACAGGCTCTGGCACTGGACCTCTTTCCAGCTCAGGGTCACTTACCCTCCCAAGGCCAGTGTGTTACTGCTTGGAGGAGAACCTAGGGCTCCATTGATGGCACTGGCCATTCAGGGTGGAGGCTCCTGGATGCTGTGTTTTCCTTATGCTCTGGTGCTGAATACGTCCTCTCTGGGGTTGCTCACCTCTGCAAAAATGTCCACCATGAATGTCTACTTCTGTTTATCACCTCAAAGCTTCCTGCAAAACACTCCCCGAGTCTTGGAATGAGATAAGTATCTCTTCTAAATCACTAAGTTGTTTTCTGTGCTAACAGAATGTTGTTAGGAGCTTTATTCCTGATTAATTTATCTCATATAAATTCTCTCTTTACTTACTAGTTGATTTAAGCTAATAAAGCATTGCACATTGCTTGTGGTATCTTGACGATTGGCATTTGGAGTTTTCTGGATTTATTTTAATAATTTTAATTTTATGGAACTTTTAGAAATGAAGATTCTGAAGTATATAAATGGAAACATATACCTTACATGAATTTGTTTTGCCTAGCAAAAATGTAAGGTTTTATGTCTTTAATATTCAGTGTGGCTGTAGTGTTGTGACTGAACAGCTATTCTAGAGTTCTGAAAGAGATGTGACTGTGTGGTAAAGTTAAAAGTAACCTTGTAGAGTGTCATGTGTCTGTAAAGCATCTTTTGCAGCTTTGCTATGAGTGGAAAGAGCCTCTGCAATCCTGCTTTACTTACTGAGCACAAGGAGATAAATATCCTTTTGATAGACCAGCTGTTTGCTGTCCAAAGGAGTACTTTCATTGCCTTACACAGTTTTAGATGGTGGTGTTCTGCCTTATGATTCGTACAGCAAGCACAAGAAGGGATTTAATAAGTCCCTTAATGTTCTTATTAAAGTGAAATTATATAAAATTATTGTAAAATATTTAATATAAAATCATGTCTTCAAAAACATGTAACAAATTTGCACAAAGGACGTGAGAACTGACCAAGATGCTGTTAGCATTTCAGTGGCTTTCTGCTTAGGCCCATAATGCTGTGGAAATAATCTATTTGGTTACGTATTGCTGTTGCATGGGAGGCAAGTGTTACATGCCTTAGACATGTCCTTTGTGGTGGCGTTAGTAGGGGTCAGTTGACCTAGGCTTTTTGTGTGTCACCTTCCATTAATAAGGTTTGATTTACCCTTCAGGCTGGTATAAATTCATCAAACAATGGATGTTGCAGAGTAATGCAAAACCAGTTACAGAATACTGATTATTGGAGAGAGTGGACTTAGATTAGCATGAAAATAATGAAAAATCTGAAGCAAA